GGTGGTGGTGGTGTTGTTGGTGGTAAATTTGTTTATTATTTTTGTTGTTGTTTCTGTTGGTGGTGGTGGTGGTGGTGGTGGTTGCGTCCGCCGGGCGAGAGGGGTGAGGCGGTGCCGTGCAGGGGGAAGAGAGAGGTGTGGTCCAGGTGGTGGTGGTTACTGTTGATATTGTTGTGGACGTCAGAAACCGGTCCGGTGTTACCGTTACAGCAGTGCCCACCCAGTCCAATGCTCCGTCTTCTCTCTCGAGAGGACGCATACCCATCGATCCTACAACTAAAGGCGCGAAAAACATGAGTAAATATACCTCCCCCCCACAAGAATGACCCCCACCCCCACCCCCTGCCCTTGTCCGCGTGAAAGATCCTCCCCTTCCTACGGGAGTGCCTCATGAAGCAGAGCCCCGCAACCGCGGCCGGCGGGGCGGCCGGCGGGGGCGGCGGTAGGGCCAGCGCTGCTTCGGGCGGCAGCGGCGGCGGCGGCGGTAGCGGAAGGGGCGGTAAAGACGGTTCCGGGAACGCGCCGCAGATGGCTAGCCTCTGCCTCGAGAGGATGGTCGTGGCGTTTTCTACTCCCATGGGGGGGGCGGACGGCGAGCGACCTACTGCTGCTGCGTCTCGAACGACGGCCGGCCGCAGGAACGGCTTGCCGGTACAGCATTACCACCACAGGTGAGTTGTGTGTGTGTTGGTTTTTTGTTTATTTTCTTGCAATAATCAGAAAAATAAAAAATGGATGTCTACGCTCGGAAAGAACTTCAGGACGGCTTTTGCCAGTAGAGCACGACCACAGAGCCAGCCACCCGTACTTGTGTGTGTTTTTTTTTTCGAAAACAAAGCAAGCGCATCTCTATCCGCACATGAGAGTCCAGGAACGGCTTGCCAGTACAGTACTGTACAGTACAGCGTTACCACCACCACAGGGCCTTTTTTTTTTGTTTTTTTGGTGCGAAAACAAAGCAAGCGCATCTCTATCCACAGATGAGTCCAGGTGCTGCGGGAATCGTTCGCGAAAGACGTTCAGGAGACTGTAGCACTAAACACATGTACTTCCACGTATGTGTGTAAGGATTGAGAGATTGTGAGAGTTTTTTCTTGACTCTGAAGGTGGTGGTGCATGGCTCTTCTTACTTGGCGGAGATCAGCCGCCCTCATCCACATACACCCGCCTGTATGTCTTCGCCGGAACGACCATCCCTGTCACCGCCCTCATCCTGTCACCACTGTCTCGCGCTCAGCAGCAGGCCGCCCGGGGGCACACGGCCCTCCACCACGAGCCACACGCCTAGAGCGGCGGCAGCGGCGGCGGCGGCGGCATGGCTGCAGGAAGCCGAAGCGGCAGGAGCGGCGGCGGCGACATCGAACCCGCCCGGCTCGCCGTCAGGCCGCTCCCCCGGCGGCGGCGGCGGCGGTGGAGAGGAAGAAGAACCCGTGTCGGTGGCGGAAGACGAAGAAGGAAAAGACCGTTCCAAGGAACGTTCCACGGAATCATCATCCCGGTCCCCGTCGGGCCGCTCCCGCGGCGGCGGCGGTAGCAGTGGCGGAGAAACGGCGCCTGCGGCGGCAGCAGCGGCGGCGGCGGCGGTGACGGCGGGAGGAGAAGGAAATGCC